GTGGCATTTTTCCTTCATTGACTGGCTTATTTCACTTAGCATAATGCTCTCCAGTTCCATCCATGCTGCTGCAAATGGTAAGAATTCCTTCTTTTTTTACAGCAGCATAGTATTCCATCGTGTAGATATACCACAGTTTTTTGAATTCTTTTATATATTTTAAAATTAGCATTTGTATATTTTACAAAATTATGACTATTAATAGATTTAGTATATCAATATTATGTTGCTCTTAAAATAAACTGCTTTTTTGATTGTCCAAAACCTTATCAAATCTTTGAAGTCTTCTAAATGTCGCTGAAGGCATGATGAGTATTAAAAGGTTGTTCAATGGTTCTAAAAATTTATGTTGCTTAGTCAAGTAACCAAAAGGTGAAATATGTATTCATTATTTAAATTAATGACTTAATTTTCATGACTGGTAATAACTGCTCAGTTTTTAATATGCAAGAATTATAGGCATTCAAATCATTTGTGTTCATATCAGCAATTATTTTTTACATGTTTACTACAAGCATGGAACTAAGCTGATATCAAAATATGTGTGACACTCTCCCTATTTCCAAGTCCATCAGAGACTAACAGAAAACTAGATATGTACAAGAGATGCCACAGATAGAAGCAAAAAAAAAAACCCCTTGTTAGAGGGATGTTCAAAGTTCTCTGGGACCACAACCAAGATAATTTTGTTTTCTATACAGATATCAAGTGAAGCTAAAGAGTAGCTGTGACATTTTGGGTTTTGTGAATGACTTGTACTGATGTTAATGCATTTTATAACTTTTTTCTTAAGTAATTTTAAAATTTTATAAAGATTTACATGCAAATGAATGATAGATTTGTGTGTTAGAATGATAACTTGTAATAGTGTGAGGGGATTAAAATGATGAGGACCGGAAGCAATAACTTCATTAAAGGGGAATTTTCCATGGGCTGGGCCAGTACTGTCTACATCCTCAGGAATAAAGAGTGGGAGGGGAATAAAGTAGTAAAGATATCTGAGAGCTTTTTAGGGAGAAAAATAGGTTTGTTGATTCATTTAATATGGAGGAGGGTGAAATTGTTGTTAAACAACTGGAATGAGAGGAGGTCACCAATGTTATAGGAAGCAGATTCAAACAGGGAGTGAGAGATAATGAGTTCAGTTAAGAATATGTTCCATCATTTGTTGGGAGCAGACCATGGGAGGTGTAGCCTCGACAAAATTGAACAGATGCATTTCAGAGAGCAGCAGCTCTTCATCATTCATGCTCCTTATTCTAGGAGCTATCCAGAGTACATTCCTGGCTGCCACATGTCCCTCTACTTGCACACACTTATCTGCTTCCAGGGTGTCCAACTTTTAGAAATGGCTATAGGCCTTGTCAGCGCAGCAAGAGCACTTTTCTGACATCAGTGTGCCTCAGAGATTAGTTTGGCATTCAACTTGGAAACTGGCAAACTGATTCCACAGGGACTTGTGGGGGATGGTGCAGAGGGGAGCATTAGCCATATCAGTGACCACAGTCCTCTCAAAGGATGTATTAAAAGGTCTCCCACCGTGGGAACTATGGCAAGCTTATACCTTGGGAACTTGTCTTGACTTCTCATTGTACTTCTGAAGATGTAAGCAAGCTCTGTCTGCTTTCATTCGGTGATCCACATGTGAGTACACTGCACGACCTGAGCTCCACCTGTTTCAGTAGGGCTCTCCCTTTTCCAAGAAATTTTTTAAAAAATGACCTTGCATATTACACTCAGGAACAGTTACAACAACCAGGAATTATTTTGGTAATCTGTGTCCAGTCCATCATGAGCCTACTAGGAATTTAGGTAGGCATATGAACTAGATAAAACATTGACCTGAAAACAAACAAAAAAAAAGAAAAATAAAAAAAAGCAAACTAATCATCCGAGAGATGCAAATCAAAACAACAGTGAGGTACCATCTCACACCTGTCAGACTGGCTATCATCAACAAATCAACAAACGACAAGTGCTGGAGAGGATGTGGAGAAAAAGGAACACTCGTACCTGCTGGTGGGAATGCAGACTGGTGCAGCCACTATGGAAGACAGTATGGAGTTTCCTCAAAAAACTAAAAATGGAAATACCATTTGACCCTGTGATCCCACTTCTAGGAATATATCCCAAGAAACCAGAAACACCAATCAGAAAGGATATATGCACCCATATGTTCATAGCAGCACAATTCACCATAGCTAAGATCTGGAAACAGCCTAAGTGCCCATCAGTAGATGAATGGATTAGAAAACTGTAGTACATCTACACAATGGAATACTATGCTGCTGTTAAAAAGAAGGAACTCTTACCATTTGCAACAGCATAGATGGAACTGGAGAGCATTATGCTAAGTGAAATAAGCCAGTCAATGAAGGAAAAATACCACATGATCTCACTCATTCATGGATAATAGAGACCATTATAAACTTTTGAACAATAATAGATACAGAGGCAGAGCTGCCTCACACAGATTGTCAAACTGCAGCGGGAAGGCCGGGGAGGGTTGGGGGGCAGGAGGGATGGGGGTAAGAGATCAACCGAAGGACTTGTATGCATGCATATAAGCATAACCAATGGACATAAGACACTGGGAGGTAGGGGAGGCCAGGGGATTGTCAAGGGCAGGGAAAAAAAAGGACACATATGTAATACCCTTTGTAATACTTTAAGCAATAAAAAAAGCATTATTCTGTATATATGTGCATGTAAGTGAACAGCACTGAGAAGTATTTTGTATCAAGAGAATGACCAGCAGTATCAGAGAAATATCCTACCAAATCTGAATCTCTAGGGTTAGTGCTTCAGAATGAGTATTTTAGAAAACCTCCAAAAAAAAAGAAAAAGAAAAAGAAAAAGAGAACCTCCCCAGGTAGTAATGATGCACACAATTAGTTATGACAAGCTGGTGTTCAATGAAAACAGATGGAAGTCAATAACACCATCACTTAAAGTCAAGTAAGTGGATGGTAACAAAGCAAACTGAGGAAGAATTCTCAGAGGCAGATAAACAACTAGGATTAAGAAGAGATGGAAATGTTTCAGACATGAAAAAACAGTTCCAGTTTCAAATGAGGAATAATCAAATGTCAGCTAAGAAAAAAAAAAGACTGAAGGTAATTACTGGAATTTAACACAGCAGAGGTAAGTGATTGTTTTGCCAAAATAATTTCAGAAAACAGCCAGGGATCAAAGCTTGTCTGCAGTTAAGCAACGAGGATATTTTTATTTCTGAAAGCTTATAGCTATTATTAAAGATTTCATATTGGGCTATATCTGCACAACAGCCCAGATTTTAACTGATACAAAATTACCAAACCCTATGTTTCTCAATTAGGAAGGACAATCTTCAGAGTATTACACAACTATATGGTTTCCAAATTTTCACTGGCCTTTTACACAATTTGTATGGAAGTATGAGTAACAGAAGTTTCCTTACTGTATGCAAATTTTTTATTTTAACAGCCCCTCATTTTTCAGCACTCATTTTCCTCTTCAAATTTAAAAGCAAAATGGTTTGGGGGCAAGACATTTCAACTCCACGTTTGAATTGTTCTTTGCCCCTCACTTCTTTCTACAATTTCAGCGTGGAGAGACAGTGAAAGTAGAAATGCTGCCTTATAAGAAGTCCCAAACTCACCCTGGCCCAGAGCCACTTGGTATTTTACTTCGTTTAGGCTTTCCTCATTTGGTCATTTCAACAACTGATAAATATTGGCCTCATATGATGATCCTCTCTTCAGATCGCCCAACTCATCAGTATTCGGAGAGCCCTAAAGATAGGGTAAAGTTATCTCTACTAGTAACAACAGACTGGGCAACCTTACCACTTTTGGTCGTGCAACAATAGTACTTCTTAGCAGCTTCTCTACTCTCCGTAACAGAAAGCAGATCTGAAATATACCTTCTTTGCTTCCTACAGGCATGGCTCATAGGCTCTGCCAACCCAGGTCAAACATCGAGGCAATTGAGTATTCTTGTCCAGGGTGATTTGTAAATTACAGCCATGATAGAAATGCGTCTCAAATAAGGTATTTAAAGGAAAATAGAAAAGAAAAAAAAAGATACCTCCAAGGACAGTTGTATGCTCAATGATATTACACAACTATCTCTCTCGGGGTGGGGGTTGAGAGGGGCAGGGAGGGAGACTTATGGGTTTATCAGTTTCAGTGAAGGCTAATTTCAAACTGTCACTTGATATTTTTAGAGGCAGAGATGGAAAGAGACATGGGTTGCACACCATAACATAGTAACTTCACTATAAAGATATAACCAATATGGGAAGCATGCCAGAGTCCCCGGATAATCAAGGCTAGAGTGTGTAGGCCTTGGTGATAGTATACTGAATGTCCAAGGCCACTCTGCCCCTAGGCTAAGATAACATAAGCAGCTGCAAGGCCACAACAATCTCACAGTGTGCTGTGCCCTTCTATAACCCAAATGATTGTCACTGTTGGCAACCAGCCTTCTTTGTCTCTGGAGTGATATACAGGTTACTGACCAGCTAGTTGGCCAGAGAGCAGCTAGGAAGGGAAAAGGATAGAGAGCTCAGATGGAGCTGAGAGCTGGTACTGCCAAGAGGTAAGGCTAAGAGCTCCCAGAGAGCTTAGATGTAGCTACCATGTTAACCAGCTAGAGTGTGCTGGGCAGGAGAGACAGAGGCTGCTAAGCCAGAGAGTTCAGATACCGCTCCGATGTAAGGTGGTGAGTTTAGAGGCAGATAATAACAGTGGGTACAGAGACTGCTACTACTTTGTGAGAAAGATATGTATTTTCCAGATGGTGTTCGGCTGCCTGATTGGGACACTGTTGTGAAGGACTATTTTGTCTGATGGAAAACAGAAAAATAGGCCCTCTTGGCTTCATGGGACAAGGATCCTAGGTTGCTTTCCCCTGAGATTCAGAGCCTCTTCAGGATTCAAGTTGGAGTAGATAGGGTGAAAATTGATGCTGTAAATACATAAACACCAGACATAATTCAGGTGACTCAGATGCAGATTATTTATTATTTCATAATTTAAACCTTCAGTAGTGACAACAGAGGTGAGGAATAAATTATGTTTTTATCTCTTCTTGGTTTAGGCCAGTTTCTGATGATTTATTTGGGTTTATCTTCTCTTCAGGCCAAAGTTGTTAGAGACTGTTGCTGTAAAAGAAAACAAAACAAAATACCGGAGTTGCTTCTTTCTTTTTCTGAGCTAACATATTTCTAACGCGAGTAATTTAAAAGATGTGGGTAATTATAAGGATCAAGGAAATGAAAACTAAATCTAGAAAAAAAAACAAACAAACAAGGATCTGTTGCCTTAACTGCAAATACTCTGAATTTTATAATAGAAGTGGTTTTATAAATACTCTATTTATCCATGTTCAGTAGAATGATTCACACACTTTGATACACATACAATTTACTGAATGAATTAGAAGAGGAAAGCCAAGGCAATATTTGGCATTCCAAGGACTCTGAATGATGAGGATCTAATGTCATTAAAATCTAAAATCACTCTGTAGAATTATGAAAAATGAAACCAATTAAGCATGAAATAAAGTCAAAATGTTTATTGTAAATTTAAGTACAAAAGCAAAAATGACAAAATATTTTTAGAACCACGATAAATAATGTTTAAAAAATGTTATTTGTTAACAGTATGCTAGATCTAAAACCCTAACTTACATAACAGAAAAATCAGCCAAGAGGCAGAAGGTAAAAATATAATTAGCATTCCTAATACTAAAGGTCGTCTCAAAATTGCCTCTAGTTCCATATGGTAATATTTTGTACTTTTTATTTCTATGTCATACTCTTGATAGACATAGATCATTACTAAATGACATAGTGAAAAAAATAGCAAAAAAGCCAATAGGACAGTAAAAAATAGTAAAATTTTAAGATATGCTCTCTCTCAGAAAATATACCACTTACATGTCCAATTGACTAAAAGTAAATAATTTATGAAGTTACAACTGGACACATACAGATTCGTGGTGATCATTACAATTAGGTAATTTGGCAATAGATATCAAAAAACAATAAGAGTGTACATACTATATTTATGCTTTGATCAATCTCTCTTCTAGGGATTTAACCTAAGACTATAATCAGACAATTGCTCCAAAATGTGTATCCATTTAAGGATATTATTTACAGGGAATTTGTAATAATGAAAAACTGGAAGTACTCTAAATATTCATAATAATCAATTTTAAAATAAATTCTTTTTCATTTTTAAATTGAATACCAAATGTCAGAAAATAATTACATAGGCCTAATTTTAAGATAGGAAATGTCCATAATAGTCTCTAAGTTTAAAAAAGTACTTTTTTGTTTACTTAGGAAAACATTTAAGAAGACATGCATCTATATTATTAATGAAAATCGTCTTTGTGTGTTGATTATGAAAATGTATACTTAATTTATATATCTACCAAGGTAACATTGATATTTTAATAAATATTTGATAATATATTAACAATCAGAAATATGAAGTTTGAAAATAAAATTACCTATATTGTAATTCACTGTTAGTTTAGTTCTAAAACCAAAATTTACCTGGATATTCCTACTTTCCTTTTATATGCATTTCAGAATCTTTTTCTCAATTATATGTACCCATGTATCCAAAATATATTTTCATTGAGTTTATTTTTAATATAATTATAAAATAATAATAATATATTTTTTAAACTGTCAGGCACTGGAAAAGCTTTATGTGTAAGCACAGGAAGGGGAGAAAGCAAAGTAAAACCTGGTAACTGCTCCCTACCTGCCTGCCCTACCTTACACCTCCATCCCCTCAATTCTTTGCCCTCAAAATATACAGAAACCTACATATACATAGATGTTGGAAGAGGATACGTTTTAAAGTTAAAAGATTAAAAAGGAAGAGGTAAATACTGTCAGCTTCACCTTACATGGAAAAGGAAAGAGAAATATTTTAGATAATAAGATTCAAAATTCATGGGGAATTTCCTTTATCATTAAGTCTCAAAAATAAATGTTAAATTAATTATAAAGTAAATATAAAATGTAAATATGATATGTATGATAGTTTTAAAAATGAAAAATGTAAGTTACAAATATGATTGAAGCCTAATAGCTTCAGAAGATGATAAACTGCTGAACTGTAATAAAAAGTATACTGTACCAATATATATATATATATATATATATATATATATATATATATATA